GTCTAAAGAGGACTTTTTCAAGCCTTTTGAGCCCAAACCTCACATTTTGGTATCCTTCCTACTTGTGAATTGTTTGCCAGCCAGTGTGGGAATGCAAGTACACCAATGTTATTTATTCATTTGTTGCTGTGGCTGCTGCTTTTTCTGAGCCCTGGTAGTCACAGGCACAAGCTGAGAGATCGTGTCCCCAGAGGCTGGCATAAAGGCAACCCCAGGCTGGCTGACAACAGCAGCAGCTAAAAAACATAAAATGGAGAGAAATCTGCCTCAAAATGTTAAAAAAAAAGGTGCAGGAGAGAGAAAGGATATAATGTGCTGAATTGCAAGGAGATTGTGCATCATTTATTCCCTGCCATAGAATGTGATTTTACCTTTACGTAATTCATTCATTTTTTTGGAGATCTAACTGGGAAGGAGTTGATACTCCCCACAAAATTAACTGGTATTATACATAAGCTGTGGGCCTGCCACACAAGGTGTGGCCTTGATATGGGTTGTGAATAGTAGCATAGAATATTCTGAGTTGGAAGGGACCCACCGACATCATTAAATCCAACTCCAAGCCCTCCACAGGACAACCCCAACAATCCCACCCACGTGCCTCAGAGTGTTGTCCAAATGTTTCTTGAGCTCTGCCAGGCTTGTGTCTGGGACCACTTCCCTGGGGAGTCTGTTCCAGTGCCCAGCTACTCTCTGGGTGAAGAACCTTTTCCTAGTAAATACAATTTGGTGTGTGCATGACACACTCCAAATAGATATCAGAGCTGGAAGGTATTGCAGGACTCTGTTTGGGTGACCATTTTAAGTGTTCAGTTCATGTTACACTTATTTACTTGGGAAAACCACCGAAAAGGTCTCTTGCCTCAATTGAGCTACTGATTTTCACCAGCCTTGCAGGACTGCAACATGTTTGTGTTCTCACTCCTCCTATTAAATCCAGTTGAAATCCAGCTCCCTGCCATTTTTCCTGCAGCTGGGAAAAGCACAGGAGGAAAATGCCCAGTGGCTGACGTGCAGCTTTCCTTGGCTCTGCAGGTTCCTCCTGGATCATTCACCAAGCATGTGTGGGATGGGCACTCAGCCATGACCCCGGCACTTGCAGCTGCTGCTGCTCCTCAGTCTGACTGAGAACTATTTAAATTAAACACCAGAGGTCAAATACTGGGTGCCAAAGAGGGGGAAAATGGAAAAATAATGAGGTTTTTCTTCTATGAAAAAAAGCAGTGAGGGAGACATTCTTATCCTGCTCAGCTGCAGGCAGAGGGAAAGGTGCTGAAGTCTCTTCATGGTGAAGAGGTTTAGGTCATGGCCATACAGTCCTTTGAGAGGTGAAATGGTTGTCCCAATATTTTTTCTTTGGGGTCTCAGGTGAGCTGTTCCATGCCAGTGGCCCTGAGAGTGTGCTCAGACTGCAGGACAGCAAAGTCCCCCATGTCACCCTCAGCATGGAGAGACGGTGGTATTTCATGTCTGTAGGGTCAGTGTGGGCTACAAACAATCCCATATTGATAACTAGACAAGACAGGAGGGAAACTAGAAGGGCCAGATGAGAGTTGTGACTCTGTCACCCACCCTGCTTGATGAGAGATATGCAATTAATTTATGTGTTCGTTCCTGTTATTTCACCGGGGGCTGCTCAAAAGGAACTGAACATAACCACTACCATCAGTCAGCAAAGGAACTTAAAAATTCCATTGCAGTTGGAGATGGCACTGGGCTTTTCTCCCACAAAACAGGGAGGGTGATCACATGGGATTCACAGGGTCCAGGAAAGTGTACTGGTGAATGAAGGCAGGTGGCCATTTCACTAACCTTGCTCTAGACCACTCCTTCTTCTTTCAAGGGTCTTAAGGATGTGATATTGCATCCTAGGGAAGGATGTAGGACTACAGGAGAAGGGTCACCAAATAAGATTGTTTGATGTCTTTACCCAATCCCCACAGAGCTCCCTTCCCTCTATCCCCCCAGTACATTCCTCCATGCTGTGGTGATTTAAAGTGTGTTCCTTGAACAAACCACCTTTTCCCTCTTGGGAAAGATTCTTTAGATTTATTCTCTCCATGATAATGCAAGGATGGTACAAGTGATTATATACTTGATCTTGTGTTATTAGTTGATGTTCATCTGTTTACCTTTATTTAAAAAGGAAAAGGAATAATACAAATCAGAAATCATTTGAAGGATGCAGAGGCAGGTGGTGCATGTGGCAGTGAACAAAGCCAGGCATCTTCTAACTGGAAACCATTAGGTATGGACTGAGTGGAACAATAGAGATTTTTATGACCTTAATCAACCCATTTTCTTCCTCTGTGTAATCATTCTTTGGGTAGCAAACTTTCTTTTGAGCACTAAAATCTGTTTAGGTTTTCCAGAGAATCTGTGGCTGTCCCATCCCTGGAAGTGTTCAAGGCCAGGTTGGACAGGGCTTAGAACAACCTGGGATAGTGGAAAGTGTCCCTGCCCATGGCAGGGGGTTGGAATGAGATGATCTTTTAGGTCCCTTTCAACCCAAACCATTCCATGATTCTGCAGTTATACTGTCATGGATGAGCACAGAGGCTTTTATGCCAGAGCGTGTTGGTAGGACTGAATGGCTGCAGGGTCTTCTAAGAGGTGACAGCAGAAATCCAGCAAGAGCTTAAGCACAGATATTGTATGCAGAGAAGCTTAAATGAAGAACTAGAGTGGTTTATTTCTAGGAAGGGGAAACATCTTTTAAAAGGTCACAATATGAAGAAGAGTTTATTCTTCTTAACTCTTGCAAGGCTTCTATTAACAGCTTCCTAAGTTTTTGGTGCTAGCAAGAGCAGTCTGGTATATGCCTTACGGTCTTGCTTTCCCCTTAGGGTTAACTGGAGGGTTCTATGTGATTTCAGAGGGTTAGAGTGATGTCAGAGTGACTTTAAAACATTCAACAAGCCTTCTCAACCAAATGTTCTGGTGGATCCCACCATTTACAACTGCGTCATGTGCTGGTGGCATTGGCAATGTTTGTGCCAGACAGAGATTTATGCAATATGTAATACTGTGCTACAGTTGGCTTGATAAGCAGTGCATCTGAGAAATATGAACTTTTCCATGGAGTGTACTGTCCTCTGTCTCCTGCTCTGTGATAAAGACAGGTTTATTAGCTGCTTTTTCAGTGGATCTGTGGTACACTCTTGTATGTTGTATACAATCTAGTTCAAAGCACTGTCACTGAAGAGTAATTCACAGCCTCTCTGGAAAGACAGTGGATAAAGATATCTATCCTTTCTATCTATCCTTTCAACTGGAATTTCATCCTAAATCCCTGAAATATATAATTATATGTTTACAACTAATGAAAATGAAACTTGTCCTATCATACTTAGCAACCTTGGAGAAATCGTACTCTCTGTAGCCATTGTGTACAGATGTGAAGGCTTGTCTGTACTTCTGTAATAATGAAGTGGTTCACTCCCTCTGACACCAGAGATTTAGCTCCCCAGATGTTGTAACTGTGTGTGTGTTAATGTAGTTCCAGGTTTCAGTCTAAACTGAACCAAGTAAATTCCCTTTGTAGGGTAATCATGGAATGTGTCAAAGGCTGGAAAACAGCAGCATCCACCCAGGATGGACATCAAACAGTTGTATCATTTAGCCTGGGAACCATCACCCCTTCCCTGGTGTAAATGATTAGAATAATCAAACTTTAGAAGGCTCTGAGTTTGAAGGTACCTTATGGATCATTTTGTTCCAACTCCCTGCCTTGGGCAGGGACACCTTCCTCCAGACCAGGTTGCTCAGGGACAGTGCTATGGGAAATGTCATATAAAACATCATGCACATAAAGTTAAAACTGACAAAAATACAGTAAAAAAAAATAACTGTCATAATACCACCAGTATTGATTCACCTAAACCTCTGCAGATCCAGGGCAAGAGCTTTAATGTACATGATGTGCTCAATTTAAAAATGGAGTAATTTTGCATTAGTGTTGAGGTTATTCTTTCCACTGCTGTTTCACATTAGCACAACCCAGTGAGGACCACAAATATTTCCATGTCTGGTTTCCCCCTCCACCTCAAATGAGTTGAGAATGTTCCTGTTAATTCACATATGAGACCAAATAATATGTTACGGATGTCCACACTTGTGCACACTTGTCCATGCAAAAATACTCACGTATTCCTCAAGAAATTGGCCAAATGGGACCCTGAACGTGGTCTAGTGGAAGGTGTCCCTGCCTATTGCAAGGGAGTTGAAACTAGCTGATCTTTGAGGGTCTTTCAAACTCAAGCCATTCTGTGATTCTATGAAACCTTCACTGCAAAGTGCATGCCTGAAGTTTAGAGGTGAGGAGGAGCCATGATTTGAAACACACAGGCATCATTTTACCATTGCTCGTTGTGAGTCAGTCTCTTTGCTGCTTTTGAGTTGTTCAGTGCTTTATTTGGAACTGATGTACAAGCCATCAAAGCAGTGGCAATAAAAACACTGGATAAGCTGAGAAAGCTAAAAAGGTATTTGAAAGGAGGAATGTCTCTCTCAATGCAGGCGAGTGGCAGGAGAGCCTTTGAAAAAAAAAATCCTCTGAAGCAAAATACTGCCTGTCTAGCAGGATGTTTTAATTCCAAACTCTTCAGGCTATTTTTATGACATTGCCAGGAAATAACAGTGCAGTTCTGCTTTTTGGGAGGCAGAGAGAGACACACACCAGGCAAACCTGTGGTCGTTCTGCAGCCAGACCTGCAGCAAAGCCCCTCGTTCCCCAGAGCAGAACGAGACAAAGGGGCAACCCCTGAATTGTGACAGGCATTTCTGAAGGCCAAGAACTTCTCCAACCCCAATCCCTCTATTCCTTTTCCCTACACAGGGCTCCCTCTGGAAGCCTTGCCCAGAGCACAGCAGAGGAGGTGCCAAAACCCTGCCGGACAACGTGGCATTGGCACCTCCTCCACACTTCTCCGGGCAAGTTGGCTCCTTGAAGGGTGGAAGGGGGTGAGCTTTGAACTTCTCTGGATCTTTTTTCTTTCCAGCTTCCCTTGCAGTTTTGTGGCCGGTGGGACGAGGACTCCAGCTGGCCTGCTGGCCACCAGCCGCGAGATGGCGATAACGTCACGATAGAAGAAGGTCGGACGCTGCTGTTGGGGACCAGCACCAGAGTCCTCAACCTGCTGCATCTCAAAGGTCTGCGAAGGCGGGGGGTTCGGTGCTCTGCTTCATCCCGGGCTGGGAATTCTTAGTGCCCGTGATCTCCCCTTCCATTCCTCACCTCCAACATCGATGGTCAGTCAGGCTGAGTTTCCTCTTGATACACACGATGGGGACGGGGGAAGAATTTAATTATTCTATATGCAAAAGGTGTCGTTTATGCTGTTTGAGCATAATGACAATATAAACAGAAAGGATTTCCCCTGCTTCGCCCCCATTTCTTTCCCTCAACCCCCAAAATTGCTGCTGTCCTGAGCAACGTTCAGCTCAGTGATAATGGCACTGCTGATAACAATAATCAGTTTTGTTTAGCGTCTTCGAGGCAGGTGGGCCACAAACACCTTTACAATATTAATGATGTTACAGAATTGCAGGTCAAAACTACCAAATGTAATTAATAATCCAAAGTCCTAGAGAACATCTGGTGGACAGCAAATAAGAGTTATGGGGGGAAACACTGGGTTTGCCAGGTACCTGCTCATAGACCTAGGATAACTGTGAGACAGGTATATCTCTGTGTGTCTCTGTCAAAGTAAGAATTAAAACTACTTGTAGTTCCATGCCAGAAATTTTTCCCTCTGAAAATTAGGTCCTGGTTATGAAAACTGTTGTGCACATGCTTGGTATTAAGGGAATGAGCTCTGCTAGTGAAATTACTTACTTAAAGTTAAGCCTCTGCTGAAACAGCTCAAAATATGAAAACAGGAGTTTTTATATGTTGAAGGACCTGGATCCTTGCTGGTCAAAATGATTTTATATTAAAATGGTATTAAATGTACTAGTCTTACATTGAGATGGTGACAAAGAACATAACAACTATATTTTAATCTGAATTTGAATGATCATTTTATAAAGTAAAGACTTTGTAAGATTCTTCTCAGCCTCATTGTAACTGTGACATACAGTGGAGGAGACAGGTCAGAACCCCAGATTTCTGCAAATCTGGATGCAAATCGGGATGAGGATTTTGGGGCTCAGTCTGACTTTGTGAAGAATTGGGGCACAATATTGCAGCAGAAACCCTTTGAACTCTGGACCTACTCACAGGCACATTTGATCTATGAGTCAGCACTCATGAAGTATCTCTGATTGAATTTAATGAAGTCTGGAGCAGTATCTTTATGGCTTTGGCTCATCTGACATTCAAATCATTCCTCCCCTTTATCGTGTTTTCCAAGAAGCTTCGTTTATAATGTCAATTCAGTTAGGAAAGCAGCATTAAAATATTCAAGATGTTATTATTTCTCCATTGCTACGTGCCATACATAAGGACCGAACATTTTAGAAGCAGAAACCTGCACAGGGATTGCTTATCTAAGCTTTGTGAAGTTACCTGTTGCATCCACCCCCGTGGTTGCTCTGGCTGTTTAGTCTTGGTTAGATTTTGAGTCAAGACCCGCTGAGATCTACTCTGAAATGAGGCTGGGATTTATCTTTCCTAGTCTCCCCCTTATTAAAGTTGTCCAGCTCAGGGGAGTTGTTTAGGCTCCTGTATTGACAGAAACACATATCACCAAAAACTTATTCATCTTAGATATTTGTAGATACCTGTTTATAGGTGAATCACAGGTGATTCCCCTCAGAGCCTAAACTACTGACTCTGTGCGCATGTCAAATAATTGACTGTTTTCCCAAGGTAAAAGATGGGCAGGACAGTAAACCCTGAACCTGTAGGTGGGTGTAGATATGTGCTTCGATTGAAATGTCCCATTCCTATTCTAGCTGGAGAGTTTTTCTTGGTCGGAGCTGGAGAATGGGATTAAATTGTAGCTCTGCTCCCTTTGGCTTTCATGACTCAGCATCAGGTTGTCTGTGCACTTTCAAGCTGAAAACAAAAAGAGCTTTAATGCTACTCATTCCAGTGATGCTGTACTGCCCATTTTCTGGTGCTGTATCTGGCAAAGGCAACACATTTACAGACCCATTTATTGAAATTGTCTTTTAAGACACTGTGGGGACTTCGAACACTACCCCTGTTTGTACATCCTTATAATGATTTCAACACTGTAGAAATTGTTTAAAGGAGTGTTATAACAAGGACATCCAGCTTCATGTGCAGCCTCAGAGTGACTCTTCCTCAGCTGTATTACCAAATAGCCCAAAACATATAGTTTTTCTGGTAGAGACCAGCCTATCTGGGCAGAAGATTTGGAGGCCAAAGCAATGGAGAAATAGGATTGAGCAGCTGGGTCCTGCTCACTGCCATGAGGGCTCAGGAGTTTCTCTCTCCTCCTCAAAAAGCAGAGCATGAACATGTGAATATCAGCAGTGGAAAGTTTAGTAGTCAGACTGTGGAACAGCTCAGACAAAACTGATTGGGGAAGAGATACAAGATAGACAGATTGGAGATAATTCTGTGTGTTCAGCAGATTGCAGTTATTTTTGTAATCCCGACATCGCAAGTATGGAAATATTTATGATAACCCAGGACAGATGGAAATTTCCTTTGCACAGGGCTTACACTGGGGGAACTTCTTTGTGTTTGGGGGGTTGATACCTCAGACGTGTGTTGCTGCCTTTGTCTGAAATTAGAGTGGTCTAGGGAGGTCTGGAAAAAAAAAAAATGCTACCTGGGGATGAATTTTAGGGTGTCATTGCTGGGATACTCTCATGGGATTGAAGATCCCCAACTGGCCAGTTGCCTTTGCAATGGCAGTCTTGAGAAGGCCACTCTTGCAGGCATAAAAGAGAAGATTGTCTTGGTCCTTGTACTGGAAAAGACAGCTTCACTTAAAGAATCATTTTGGTTGGAGAAGACCTCCAAAATCTACAAGTCTAACCTTTCACTGAACACCACCTTGTCAACTAAACCATAGCACTGAGTGAAAAAGTCTAGCCATTCCTCGAACACTTCCAAGGATGGCGACGTCACCACATCCCTGGGCAGCCCATTCCAGTGCTTGACAGCTAAATGTTGGAATTCAAGCATTGGAATGCTGAAGAAATACTTCCTGATGTCCAACTTGAGCCTCCCCTGGCACAGCTTGAGGCCATTTCCTCTTGTCCTGTCACTTGCTGCCTGTGAGAAGAGGTGAAACTCCACCTTTCTACAGTGTCCTGTCAGGTAGTTGTGAAGAATGAGAAGGTCCCCCCTGAGCCTCCTTTTCTCCAGGATAAACAGTCCCATCTCCCTCAGCCACTCCTCATGGGACTGACTCTCCAGACCTTTCCCCAGCTCCTCTGCCCTTCTCTGGACATGCTCCAGCACCTCAATGTCTTTCTTGAAGTGAAAAATCCAGAACTGGACACAGGACTTGGGGAAAGGCCCCACCTGTGCCAGGTAGGAAGGGACAATCACTTCCCTTGTCACAGCCCTTCCATCCCCTGAATCTTAGCAGTCGTGCTGAAACCAACGTGCCAGTTCCCTCTTCCGTGGCTGAAGACTCCAGGCTGAGGTCTCCAGAAAGGTCTGACCCACCTCATCTGTGGTTTCTCTAAAATCTGTGCACTCAGTTTCCAACAGACCAGAGATAATCTGAGCCTTGGTGTTGTGTTTTTTTAAACCATGAGATCCAAGGAAACAGCACAGGGAGCTGAGAAGCCCCAAAGAAAGTCCTGAAATTGTCAGTTATTGCCTGATTTTGAAGCCACATCACAAGAGCAATGCCTATCCATCAAGAAAACCCACAAGAAATCTGGAGATGAACTGTCTACAAGGACATGACGTGATTGGTCAAGGGGGAATTGCTGCAAAGGGATAGAGGGCGGGGTTAGATTGGATATTAGGGACAAATTCTTTACTGTGAGGATGGTGAGGCCCTGGCACAGGTTGCCCAGGGAAGTTGTGGCTGGTTCATCCCTGGAAGTGTTCAAGGTTGGACAGGGCTTGGAGCAACCTGGTCTAATGGTAGGAGTTCTTGCAGGGGGTTGAAGCAAGATGCTCTTTAAGGTCCCTTCCAACACAAATGTTTTTAAGGTTCTGAGTTCATGATACTATGAATATTTTGAATTTCTTGTAATCCACATTCTGATCAGACTGGTTAAATTGGATCCTGTGAGTAGATCTGGGGGAGGGGAAACACAGATATTGAGTTTCCTTCTCTTTTCCTCACCTTTGATCCTGTTAAAAAGAGCATCAAATATTTCCTGATACATCTGCTTCAGTAATTATCAAATAACTAGTGCTTTGGTCACTGCTGAAAAAGGTTGGGTTTAAATTCACTGAAAGAAGGAAAAAGCTTTTCCCCTCTGTTTTCCTGTCCTTTCCATCAACCAGTCCTTAAATCCACTTTAAAATCCCTTGCCAGTAGGTACAGTTGGAACCTATATGTGTCACAGCGTTTTCTGTGCCGTTTTGATCAATCCATTTAGGATGTTCATTGTGATACTTTTTTTTTTTTTTTTTTTTTTTTTTTTTTTTTTTTTTTTTTTTTTTTTTTTTTTTTTTTTTTTTTTTTTTTTTTTTT